GCTTAGCATGTCAACATTTTAAGCATTGGCTTGTGATTGTTACCACTAAGGCTTGGGGAGAGAGGGGCCTCGGTATTAACTATTGAAAGCAGGGGGCCTAGGACTTGCTATTGAAAGCAGATCTGCAGGGTATTTGTGTTCTTTGTCATGAAAGATGTTTACTGTGTTCAGCATTTTGCTGTGTCTTTCTTTTTTTTTTGCCTTTTACATTCAAAATTCATTAAACAAAGTTGGGGGGTTTTTTAACAAAAAATGTCAGCAGGGCTTCGCATCAGCCGAGCTGACAGTGCGTTTGACCAGCACTTTCAGCCCATGGAGCTGTTTTCTTTTTCTAAACCAAAATGACGATCAAAAAAGGATGTTTTTAAAGAAGCCATCCTTTTTCTTCGCTGGACTCACTTCTGAAAATCAGTCCTATTGTGAAAAGTGTATTTCTAGAACAACTAAAACTCCTTCAGAGCATTGCACACTCCCAACAAAGCAGAAGGAAATAGTGAGGCTGTGACTGATTAAAAAAGTAAGTAAAAATAAAGTTCAGATCTTTGAGTACATTAAAATATATTTAATTAAACTTCTCCATGCTGCAAAATTGGCAATTTACTCTCTAGCACAATCTCACTGTACCTTAATGAATGATTTGCCATCCACTGTGCCAGAAAGGAAAATAAATGGAAGACCTTCCCCTCAGACCTTCCTTGATATTCATTGTGGTGTGAGGCTTTTGGGGGTCAATCTTTCCATTTCACAAAGCAAATGAAATACTGAAAGAAGATGATGGGAAGTGGAGAGCCGTCCAAAACAGAACAAATAGAGAAGATAGTAATGAGAATGCACTTCAGTGTTCATTAGAAATCCTATTTTGCAATGCTGTTTTACCATTTTCCACTCAAAAAAAAGTCCAACTCTCCAGTTCCAGCATATTTAAGAAATCATGTCTTCAGTGTTCATTCTCGTGTTTACAGTTTCACTTCCATTTTTATTATAAAAATTCTAGTCTATATTCTACATTATTATACAGAAAGGATAGTTATTGTCTATTTCATCTAAATATAGGAGAGAGAATTAATAATTTCCTAGATACGAACTGGGACAAGAGTTGAGCAGAGTATTATAGCCAACTAATCCCTGTGAAGTTTGCTAAACACACAGTGCCGCTGCTGACAGATCCCATGTGGATGCACATGTCCCTGCCACATGTAATATCAGACACAGGTTAATAAGATCTTACTGACATAGATTCACTCTGGTTATAAATTCACTGCTCACTGTTTCCCCAACAGCAATCTCCTATCAAAGCCCAGAGTAAGGAAAAGGACACTTCTAAAGGGCAAAGAAGACAAGAAAAGCAGTAAAAAAATGAGAGATTTAATAGTAGGGAAGAATATGACTCTAAAAGGATCAAGCACTGCGTCCCCTAGAAGAAAAAGGAGAAGGAGAGATGCTGTAGAACTGAGAGAACAGTAAAAAAGAAAAAGAGGATCAGTTACAGGGAAAAAGTAACCCAAGAAAATGTGGATGAGAAAGCTGGAATATGTTTCCTGAGCTCTGTGAAAGGTTTGGGGAAATATTACACTGCAGGGGCTCACTCAGTAAAGACAAAGCAGCAAATTATTCAGCTTTCTGGGTAGTGGAAGAGCAGAAAATTCTCTGTCTGAGGAGTTAATGAGAAAGTAGTGCTGAGCCAAAGCTTCACTGTTCCCAAAGCTCTCTTGTATTTTCAATCAGTTCTTTACATCCATGATATTTAGGGTATGATGAGTTTAAGACACGGGCTATTTCCAAAAGCACAGCCTCACACCCCACAGCCACAGCTCACAGGAGCCTCTTGGCAAGTGACCCCGTGGAGCTGGGGGCAGCAGGGAAGCCCCAAAGTTGGGGCTGCAGCGTCCCTACGAGCGGGGAGAAAAGTCTCATCCACGCAGAAGTGGGAAAGAGCAACTGGCTCCCATCTGGTTTATTCCGCTGTGTTCGCGGGGGTGGCAGTGGGGACAGAGCACCTCATCAATTACGTTCATATCAAAGACCGCTCCTTAAGGGCTGTGACAGGGATTGATGTGGCTCCTTCAGTACAGGGATATCCCCAGGGAAGGAGCTGCCCCGTCCGCACACGAGACCCTCAGGCAGTGCTGGGGCAACGCCGAGAACTTCGCTAGGAAGCAACACGGGATCATCCCTCTCAGGCCCCCTCCTCGCAGCAAACCTCTCCCCAAAAGAAACTTCCCTCCCCGACCCCGCGCTGGGCGAGCCGGGGCCGGAGGCAGCGGAGGGGTGTGAAGGGAGCAGGGGGCTGCGGGGGGGACCGCAGTGGGGCCGGCCCCGGGGACACCCCGCCCCGGCGGGGCGGGACGAGCCGCCTGCCCCGCACCGAGGCGTGTAAAAGCGGGGCGGCGGGGCCGGGGAGCAGCGAGCGAGCGGCCGGGGCTGCGGGACGAGCAGGTGAGCGGGGCCCGGAGGGGCCGGGAGGGCACCGGGGCCGCGGCGGGGCCCGGGGCAGGGCTGAGCATCCCCCGCGCTGTCCCGCAGGTTGCACCAGTTGCCAGGATCGCTGCACAAACGAGCAAAACGTCGTCCGAAATGGCAGCCGAGGTGAGGGGCGACTTTGCTTTCCCCGGCGGGGGGGAGGTGGTCTCCGGGCGCTCTGGTAACCGCGAGCTTCGGGTCTTTCCCTACTTCGTTCGGAAAAGGCTCCCCGGGGGTGTGGTGGAATCAGCAACCCTGGGAGGGTTCAAAAATACCTGTAGATGTGGTCCTCGGGGTCACGGGTTAGTGGTGGAACCCGGCAGTATTAGGTTAAAGGTTGGACTCCATGATCTTGGAGACCCTTCACAACCTTAGTGATTCTATGATTTGTTTTCCCGGGTTTTCAATGGAGGTGGGGACAGCAAATATCTTTGCTGCAATATTCCAGCACCCCACCTCTGATGCTGGGCTTAGCCTACAGCAGCCAAGATATACCTGGGCACCTCTTGCCCATCCCAGCCCTTACCTCCCATCACCCCCTTTTCCCTCCCGGTCCCCTCTGCCATCGCCCCCAGGCACGGGATTCTCAGCGAGGAGCTGCAAAACTTTGGCTTTTTCAACTCCCATAATCTCCCCCCGCCCCTCCCAGCAGCTTCTGCTGACGAACCTGCTTCACACCCAGAGCTCCAGCACCCCGACTCTGCACGCTGGCTCCGCAGGCTCCCTCCTGCTCTTCCCTCGACAGTAATTTGGGGATAGGGTTGCTCCGGTGCCCGGCCCGGCCCCGCCGCCGCCCGCTGTCCATGGTAGCTCGGCCGCCCGCCCTGCCCCGCGCATCTTCCGAGCCCTGCCGGGGGTACTTTGGGCTTTTTTTCTCGTTCTTTTTTTTTCACTTTACGCTAACATTTGTGACACCGAAAGGCACACAGACCTCCCTTTCTGCAATCTGCACCTTTGCCGGTTTTATCTCAATTTTATGCCAAAACTTG